TGAACACCTCCTGGATTTTCATGCCTTTAAGCTTCAAACTGTGTATTGCATCATGTGGTAGTTTGAATATAACTGGTCCCTATAAGCTCATAGGGAGTAGCACTATTAAGAGGTGTGGCCTTGTTGTAGTAGGTGTGGCCTTGATGGAGGAAGTGTGTTACTGTGGGGGCAGGCTTGAAGGTCTCATATGCTTAAGCTATGCCTAGTATAAGATGGATTCTTGCTGCCCATGGATCAAGATGTAGAAATCTCAGCTCCTTCTCCAGCACCATGTTTGCCTGCACACCGCCATGTCCCACCATCATGATAATGGACTAAAACTCTGAAACTCTAAGCCACCCCAATTAAATGTTTTCTTTTATAAGCATTGATGTGGTCACGGTGTCTCTTTACAACAATAGAAACCATAATTAAGACAGAAGTTGGTACCAGGGACTGGGGTATTGCTTTGATAGGTCAGACCATGTTTTTTTGTTTGGAGAAATATGGACTTTGGGATTACAGATTAGAAAAGCAGTTGAACACTTTAAGTGGGGGCTTAATGGGTCATTCTAGTAGGAACATGGAAGACAGTAGTGTTGAGGGTAATTTGAACTGCAGGGGCCTGGCTCAAGAGATTTCAGTGGAGAATAATATTAGTATATGACCTAGAGATCATTCTTGTGGTATTTTGGTGAAGAATGTGGCTACTTTTTGCCCTTCTCTGAAGAGTCTGCCTGAGGCTAACATGAAGAGATTTGAATTAATTCCATTGGCAAAGGAAATCTCAAAAAACAGCTTAGTATTGACTCTGTCGTGTGGTTATTAGTGGCCACTCTTATACAGATCTATAATGAAAAGGAACAAGCTGAGAAAGGAAAAACACAAAATGAAAAATTTGAGGAGAAAAGGAGCACCAGGAAGTGGGATGGAGCTAAATACTGTCTTCAAGGAGATATAACAAATTAAAAAAAAAAAATGTAATAAAGGGAGTGGTGACCTCAGGGCATGATCCCACCCAGCTAAGTTTCCAACTTGTGAAAAGGAATTAAAGAAAAGCTTAGAGCTGGATATGGTGGTACCTGCCTTTAATCCCAGCACTCCAGAAACAGAAGCAGGCAGATCTCTGAGTTTGAAGCCAGCCTGGTCTACAGATCCAGTTTCAGGACAGCCAAGCTTAAACAGTGAAGAAAACCATGGAAAACAGAAAGGCTGTGAAGATGTAATTGAACAAGGGGGCCATATTCCAGCCCAGGCAAGCAACAGAACTTGGCAGCTTTAGCTATGTGGTTCTGGCTTTAGAGTCAAGGATAGAAGAAAGGGGTTATGGAATCGTCATCTGCACCGAAGGAAAACTGCTGAGGCCAGGCCTGTGTCAGGAAGTGTCCCTGATTGAAGTCCTAGAGAGGCCATTGTATGAAGCTGTGAAGGTAAAGCCTGGATTGCTTTGGAGACTCCAAGATGTTGGAGATGCCAGAGCCATGGGATACCTGCCAAAGAGAGCTGCTAACAGGGAGTGGAACAAGCCACAGAGAAAGAAGTATGTTGCAGTCAACAAAGCTGAAAAGAGTTGGAGATCTGAGATCATTTTGACATCAGACATGGAGACGCATAGTTTGGAGTTTGCTCAGCTGATTTTTATTTTCAGTCTTGCTTTGGTCTAGTATTTCCTCACTATGCTCCCTTTCCTATGTTTTGAAATGGTAATATATATTATATATATCCTATTTATATGTTGGAAGTATTTGATCTTTTAAAAGGTTAAAAGAGAGATTCTGTCTCAAGAAATAGACACCAATCTTTGGTCTCCACAGGCAAATGCACATGTACTCTTAGCCACATGAACACAATCAAATGAACACATACATACAACACACACATGCCTATTTACAGGATATGAAGAGATAACTCACCAGTAAAGTACTTGTTAGCCTGACTCAGCACTCTCTCTTAGTATCAGAATCTGAATTGAATATCCAAGACCCATGTTAAAAAAAATGCCAGGCATAGTGGCACACACTAGTAATCCCAGAGCTGGTGAGTTAGAGACAGGTGATCCCTGCCCTCCACACACATCCATGCCTGCACACATATGTAAAATATAAGAGTTTAGAGAACATTGCAATAATCTAAGTAAGAAGTGAGAATAATTTACAAGGTAGCTTATGTGTCCTACTTAACAATTCATGAAATCTCACATTATTTACATTCAAAAACTGACCTGTTTTCACAGAATTATTTGTGGCAGAGCTAAAAAGAATCAATGACAAAACATGAGATACGTAGGCTTTGCAATGGTTTGTCATCTGATCTTGGTGCTTCCGCTTCTTACACAGGTAAGCACATAAATTGTCTAAGCCTCTGCTTTCACTTCTTTGAGGTTCACAAAACAAAACCTCTCAAAGTTGAGAAGATTAATGTGACAATGCATGTGGCGTCAATGTGGACAACCCATTAATGTTGAGGAAACCCAGGACAGGTTACCTGGAGACTTCCTCTCATCTGAGAGATGTTCATCTCTCCAGAGAAATCTGGTCTTCCTGTTGGATTTTCCTTCTTAGCAAAGAGCATAGCCATGGAGTTTGAGAGAAGGCACAGTGTAAGAGACAGGAGGGTAACAGTAGAGGTGGTCATGGAACAAACAGTCTTCCCCTCTTGGGCCTCAGAGGCCTCCCCACTAAGTGAGATTCCTAAGGAAGACACTCTTGCAGATGGACAGGAACAGGAAAGCTGACTCAAAGAGCACTTTCTACTTGGCCACTACAAGAATACTCAGAAGCCCAATTCAGCACTAGAGAAACTGGTTTCACAGGAGTTAGCAGTTCCTGAAATGGCAGAGGCAGCCTAATATAGTAGGGACAGAGTGGAGTTGGGAGCAGAAATATGATTTTCAATCCCTCTTCTCCTGTGACATTGGGCAAAGCACTAAGTTATTTCTCCCCCTGCCCCTCTATGAGTAAGAGACTTAAACTAGATGGTATCCACAGTCCTTTCTGGCTGGAGAAACTCTGCCATCTATTGAGTTTTACACCTGGCTTTTATTAGATATCTCAACACAAGTTTTTCACTCCTTCCACTTAATCTAGACTTGCCAAACATAAGTATATCCCCTCACCCACACAGGCCAGCTTCCTGTCTCAACACTTAGGGATGGAAAGAGGCTGTAATTCAAAATATAGAAATCAGAGAAAGTTTTCTGAAAATCTAAACTGCTACTCAATCTGCTGAATCAGGATATTTCAGGAGGAAGAGATCTAGGAATACCCATCCCTTAAAACCCAAACCAAAACATTTTCATTAATATTAATGACCAAGTAGTTTGAGAATCACCATTAGAGGAAAAGGCATCTTTCTCAAAGTCTGGCCCACAGATCACTTTGCAATTCAAGGGTCTAAGATGCTTGCTGAAAGCAACAGGAAGTGTAGCTAAGAATCCATCCTGAAATAGTTTTCTCAATGATTCCACAGAGACCAACTTAACTCACAAAACAGTTTATAGATGTTTACTAAGCAAGTCATCTTTGGATAAAAGCTCAAAATTTACAAAATGACATAGGAAAGATAGGGAAATATGACAGTAATGTAGACATATTTCATTTCTGTATAGTACTGTTTCATCATTTCATTTAGTTCCTATTACAAGCTGAGAAAGAAACACCATAGTGTTTCTTAGTGTTGAAAATGAAACATCATCAGAGAGTTCAGGTAATTTGCCCAAGATTAGAAAATTAATAAGTGGATGGATTTGAACCAAAAAGTAATGTCATGTAGCTAGGAAACAGGTCACACCACTCCAGAATGTTTAAGAGCTGAACACACCCTTTTAATTAAACAATATGCTGGATTTTATCTGACGATGCAAGTTAAAAAAATATATCAAGTTCCTGTTGACTGGTTTTATTAGCTACCTCACAAATGGTAAGGTTATTATAGCAACCTTAGATTAGCTGAGATAAAATGAATATTAACTACTAAGTAACAGTGATTCAAGGATTTCCCTGGGTTATAAAAAGATCATAAGCAGTGATCATTTCAGGTCAACAACCCTCAAATACAGATATTTGTAGCTGTGAATACTTGTGAATACATACCAGACATGCTGTCAAGGTTTCCTAGCTACTAAGGACCCTAGCTAGTGGCCTTACTTTCCTGATCTCTCTTTACACCATGGTCCCTGGTACTACACTCTTGAATTTAGTATATATTCACTCATCATTGGCTTTAGTGGTAAGCAAAACAAGCCTTATTAAACTCACAGTTTTCCTTAAAGTAATAAGGTATAAAATGCTATTATTACAGATAACGTTTGTAGGACATATTTCTATTTGTTTTTCTCTTACTGGTAAATTTCTTCTAAATTTACCTAATAACACATCTGTCAATATGTTTGCTTACCTTAAACTTTTGTCTAAGTAGAATAGGATGGGTCTGTCAGATTGTCAGATCCTGAACTGGCCCATTGAACACAATTATTATGACACAGTAATAGGCATTTCAGGAATGTATTGAAACTGAACAGACCTTAGCTATGGAGATGCAACATGAGCTTTTAAAAAGTTTACCAAAACTGTTAAGCATGGAAAATACAAATCAAAGGGCTTTTAAATGAATAAACATGCTTCTCTTTCCTGTATTCATTCCCTTTCTTCTTCTCTTCCTTCTTGTGTCATAGACTTTCTAAACCATGTGGACATAAGGGCAATACATAACATGTCAGTCTTATAAAATGTGTGGACACAGACACACTTAAGAGAAAAGCACAATGAAAATGACATCAAGAAAGAGGAATTGGCCAAAGAATAATTGCAATAGTCACTAGCTGTACACACATGGTAAAGGATTTTTGATTGGTGTTTCGTTTCTTTTATAACATTTTGTTGCTGTTTTTGAAGAATGGTAGATTTTCCAAATTGTCATGCCCATTCACATAGTGTAGCTATATTTGGTCAAACAAAGGAGCTATTTCTTTCCCCAAATCAGTATCTAATTTCTTAAGTAGAGAAAAATAAAAGGATACTTACAAATCTCTGATTATGATATGTTGTTATTTCTAAGACAGGTGAAGGGTGAAGCTGAAAAGTCTTTCCTGAAAATGGAAAAAAGGTGTGGGGGGAGACAAAAAAAAAAAACACATTGAATAACCAAAAAAAGGGGGGTAATTAAGTTAACAATGAAATTTAAATATTTTGGCTATGCTTTTTAAGACACGGTTAAACTAATGAACACTATGATTTTCCTGACTTCCTTAGGAAAAGTAGAACCTCTGAGTCAATGATGACACTGTGTGTTGAAAATCCAAAGGGATTTCACTCCCAACACCAGATGTGCCCAAGATTATCAGCTACAAAATCTAGGGAATCATTACTACACCAGCACAGCTCAAAGGCAAGTTGAGAGGAAAAAAAAATTCATCTCATGGACACAGCACACTACAGCAAGCAATTTTGTACTCGTCCACAGAACAATCATGTAAGAAAACACTTGGCATTGTTATATATTTGAGAAGTTGTGGATAGGCATCACACATTCAGAACATGACCTGGCATAGCTCATTTTGGAGTGGATATGAAATATCTCCTACAGGCTCGTGCCTCTGAACCTTTGGCCCCTGGCTGGTGGTCGTGTTGGCTGTGGAAACTGTGGGAAGGGAAACCTAGCTGGAAGGAGGAGGTTACTGGGAGGAGGATTTGGGATTAGCCTGCCGGGTCCACCTAGATAACTCTTCTTTATCAACAACATATAAGAAACTGTGCCAACAGCTCCCACTTCCTGTGATGACCCCCACTGCCCTGTGTTGCTTGCTATGATAATTGTATCCCTCTGACTGGTGACTCTAAATAAGTCTTGCTTCTCTCAAATTCTATCAGGTATTCATTCACAGCAGCCAGAAACTGAGGCATGATACCAGGTGCCCAGCACAGATATGGCAACCACAGAGAAGGAATTCAACCATCCTCATCCCAGTTATAAAAACAAATTATATACACTCAGTTCCTCTTCACAGAATGGGCCCTGGCTCTTGGTTTAAGCATCTGATAGAAACAGAGTGGAAAGTAGTAGAGCTATGACTTGCCAGTGTTCCCCCTAGCCACTCACAGCAATATCGTGTTTTGCACACTCCATTTGTCCCAGTTCAGTGTGAAATTCACCCTTTCTGAACTGGTTCAACAATCTCCTAGACTATATTCTTATGCACGCTTGCTTACTGAAGGTTCATTCTTTACCTGCATTTGGGGTGGAATCATTTCAAAGTCAATCTGCTCATGATCAAACACCCTATGACTGATCCTTTCCAAGCTTCCTATTACTACATAATCTAGCCCAAGATTCATTTGGTATAAGATGTCCTGCAGAAATGAATTCCATTCTACCTTTCTCTTTGCTTTTCACTCAAGCCCAATATACACCAAGGCTAAAGCTCTAATGTTATACACAGGCAATGGAATTGTATTTGCCTTTGTGGCCAAAGCTCTTTACCCTCAATTTTCTCTCACCTCTTGCATCCATTCATCTATTCTAGGTCAACTTGAGCACCCCTTCCCAGAATGCTTTCACACCTCTTTCAGACTAGGTAGAACATCAATTACATCTAATTGTACTTATCCTGTGCATTATAAATTTTTCTCAGTGACCACCTTCATTCTCATGCTAGTTTTTGGTTTGTTTGTTTGTTTTTTAAACCTTTCAAAGGCATCAACAGTGACTCATTTGTCTTATCTGTAGTACAATATTTAGCAGATTGTAGAAGTAATGCGATCAATAATTTTTTTAACATCAAGGTGTGTGAGGTTCATTTGAGACTTACAGTTGCTTAATGGCATATTTTATTACCTTGTGAGACTTTTAAAAGTCAAACGAGGACATATTTAGCCTTGTTCCTATACCCAACTTCTCATATGGTTTCTTATTCTTCCACCCACTCAGGGACAGTTTCTCTTCAGTCTTACATTTGTAGACCAAATATAAGGAAGTGAGAAGAAGAAGAGAAACATAAATGACAACATAGTCATGTGGGAAGTAACAAGAAGACAACTTGAACATTGGTAGACTGTAATACCTATATACGTCACTAAAAATCCACAATGAAAAAAATCATAACCCCACTTTCCTTTTTTAACCATTTGCATATGCTCCTTGGCAAAGATCCAACAAAACTTGTAAACAGGAATTCACTATAAAGTCAGCTAATAAAACCATGCATTGCTATTTTTTAAATGAGGATTAAAATCACTATACTTTTATGCCCTTTCTAGAATTAAATTTAGGGTTTTTTGTTTTGTTCTGTTTTGTTTTGTTTTGTTTTGTTTTTTTGTTTTGTTTCTTGAGCCAGGGTTTCTCTGTGTAGCCCTGGCTGTCCTGAAACTTACTCTGTAGACCAGGCTGGCCTAGAACTCAGAGATCCATTTGCTTCTGCTTTCCGAGTGCTGGGATTAAAGGTATGTACTACATGGCTAAAATTAAATTTAGTTTTAAAGTTATAATTTTTACCTACATTTGTCCACAACAAAATAAAAACATGAAATAGGAATAGAACAATCATTTTCCTTCCTGGCTTCTTTTTGACTAAGGTTAAATACAAAATACTTATTCAATGGTCCTTGAATATAGTTTTAAATCCATTAATTTGACTCATCATATATCAAAACTCAGATTTACAGATAATATGATAAATATAAATACAGTAAAAGTTGAATCTCTAGACATCCTTTTTAATTAAACATTTTTGTACAAAATCACAAAGATTCCTGAAAAAGTTTCAAGAAAAGTAGGATATACCTACTATTTTTGTAGTATTGACATACTACAAAATATGTATTGACATGACCCAAAGTTGTCCAAGAGGAGAATCTCAATTGAGGGATTGTCCAGATCAGATTGGCCTGTGGATTTGTCTATGAGAGACTACTTTGATTGGTCATTAATGTGGAAGGGCCCAGCTCATTGTGGGCAGCACTATCCCTAGGCAAGTGGCCCAAGACTGTATAAGAAAGCTATCTAAACATAAGCTTGAAAGAAAGCCAATAAATAATGTTCATCTATGATTGCTGCTTCAAATTCCTATTAGAATTCCTGTGATGACTTCCTTTATAATGAAGTAGAAAATATAAACTAAACCATTTTCATCCTTAAGTTGATTCAGGTCATGGCATTTGTCATAGCAACAGAATGAAAACTAGAACAATATCTCACGTACTTTTATTTTTATAAATTATAAAAATGACCAGACTAATACGTGCTAAATTAAAATTGTATATATGTTAAATACTTAAAGATAAATGTAAGATGAAATAAATATAAGTATGTGTTTGTGGTTGTTTGAAAGAGAATTATCCCATAGGTTCATGTATCTAAATGATTGGTTCCTAGTTGTCAAAAGTGTTTTTGGAAAGATTAGGAAGCCTGACCTTGATGCGGGAGGTGTGTCACTGTTGGATGGGCTTTAAAAAACCCACGTCAAACCATATTACTCTGTCTCTGCCTCCACGTTGTAGACCAGGATGTAAACTTTTGGCTACTGCTCCATCACCATGCCTGCTATCATGGTCCCTACTATGATTGGCATGAACTTACCTGTAAGAGGTACAAGGTCCTTGTGCTTACAGATAAACTCTAGGGAAACCAGGAACGCTAAACATGCAGGGTTGTCTCTTCAAAGGAAAAGATATATAACCTATTTTCTGCCCAGAGAGCTGGGAGCAAAGGTGGTTAGTAGCCTGGTGACCTTTGCTCTATCTGTATGACCAAGACCACAGTAAATCCTCTCCCTGACCCTTAAGATGTAACATGCAGTTCATCTATAGAACACATCTTTATGGAAGAGGTCACATGTACTTTACAAAGGGTTCCAATGTAATCACGTCTTAAACTTTGTTGTAACTGTGTAATTTAGTTAATTATTACCAGGAAACATTCTTCCAAATTGTGCTGTGCTTAAATATGTCTGAAATAAACAACCAGTGCCAGAGTCTTGAAGTTTGAACCAACACCAGCTACTGAGTCATGTTAAATGGGACTTTTTTCTTGTCTGACATGAATTGATACTCTGCTGGCCATGGTGTGAGCAGAGAGTCCCACACTCACCCTCTGAAACTGCAAGCCAGCACCCAATTCAATGCTTTCTTTCGTAAGTTGCCTTGGTGATAGTGTCTCTTCGAAGCAATACAACAGTGAATAAGATACTGTTCTAGTATGATTTTCCTGAACTTTTATATGTAATGAACAATTTCCATGATGTGGATACCACCACACAAGTTCTAATCCTCTCTGCATTGCCTTGCTGGAATTACGTTTTCTTCCAAATTTGATAATACTTTGATAGCTAAGAGATACAAAATGCAAAAAGAGCAAGTGACCACACCCAGATGGATTCCATTTCTTGCAAGGGAAGAGGGTCAAAATGTGAGTGTATCAGCAGAAATAGATCATGTGAGAAACAAAACTTCTTCAGAATTGTGAGCTGTCAGAGATCTTGACTATCATCTAGTCTAGTGACTACTCAACTGCTTTATTTCAGATGAACTCATAAGCAGAGGCCAGTATAAAGACAGACACATGAAGACCTACAGTAGATCCCACAGGCTTCCAGGTCTGAGGCTCTAACTTTCCCTTCCCTCCATGATTCCTCTTTCTAAACAAGGTTATAGTTAGAGAACTGCATGGCCATTTGCTGTTATGGAGTCTGAAAAACTAGGCTAGAAATAGAACAAAAGCAACTACTTCACATCTGAAAGCAATAAAATTGCTGAAAGCATTTGTCTTAAGTTTTAAGTGTTTATCTTCTCCTCTGATGCTCTCCTTTCACAGGACTGGCTTCCTGCATAAACTTTTTTTTTCCAGTAATGATCTGAATCTCATTTAATAAATATGTAAATCATGAGCAGACAAGATTTATGGTAATTGTTGCCTCTAGGGTTAGCAAAATAATGAACATGTATTTACTTTAATACTAAAATTATGACAACTTGGTTATATAAGTTTCTATCTTACAATATGTAGAATTGTAGATGGAAATTTCAAAAGATTCTATCAGTCAAAGGTGTGTCCTGCCATAAAAGATACTCAAGTTGTAGGACTGGGGATTGAAATAAGTTGTTTTGGAACAAATAATCAACTAGACAAGAGATAAGTTTTATCTAAGCTTGCATCTCACTGTTTTACAATTTCCATGAGGCGCTGTCTAATTATAGCTCCTTCATTAAGTACTTTTTCCATTTTTGTTTGTTTCTTATAGCAAATAATCATGTAATATATCAAAATATAAAAGATGAAATGCATCAGATAACTACCGTTGAGTACTGTAAAGCAAATTAACAACCCCAACCATATTGGAAGGCTTTAAAGGGCTGTTCTTAAGATGCATTTAACTTCTCAAGGATGACAGTGGTAGAAACAACCATTAGAAGTGAATTATGATAATTATGATGATAAAAAAGTATGTGCATCCATGACTATGCTTTCCACCCACAACCCAAAGAATTAGCTGAGGAAAATGAGTGATGTTGTACATGATGCACAGGAGGCATGCAACACATGCTTAGTATTAAAGAAACGCATTAATGAAAGAAGAAATATTTAAAAGGGCCTGAGAATGGAGAGACTGAGATAGTACTTAAAGAATATTTAGATATTTTATGCTTTAGGCTACTGGCAAAGTTTAACAAATTTTCACATTAAATTAGTTTTTCCTTAAAAGGTGAAATGGGTAGATTAACAGTGAGCAAACAGAAACATGAGTAAAAAGTGTCTAGATGGGCAATAAAAACCCACCAAAGGTTGAAGGTGGAAAAATTAGAATAATGAAGAAATGACACATGAGCTCCCTGTGAAGTGATTCGCCCATTCCTCCAGAGAACTAGAACACTTAACACAAAGACTCTTTACTCTGCGTCCTGTGTTGTTAGGTGTGGTCATCCCAATAGACCATTTCATTAAGCACGAGTTGTGAGCAGGAGTTCTAAGTTACTTCTAGATTATACTCTGAAAGAGAGGAAAGTGGTCCGTCCATTCCTCTTTGCAAATGGGACTGAATCTGTGGAAGTGAGTCATTAACTACAAGGTGGACAAAGATTCTACATGCAGATTATGGGACAAGAAGGGAGGAACCTTTCCAATGACATCATCAGGTCATTGTATGTACCTGATCAACCAGTAGAACTGTCTGGAGGGAAAAGCAAAGTTTACGCCATTTTTAAACCACTATTTCGAGGCTTTACTGTAAGTATCAAACCAGTGTCCTAACTAATATGTAAGGTAAGAAAAAAAAACACATTAAAATGAGAAAATTCATGGAAAGTAATTCTAGGAGATACTGGATGAGGGTGGGAATGAGCTTAAATAGGGGGAAATGTCTTAGTTTCAATGTCTGGGGCACTAGGACAACAGTAGAATGAACAAAACGATGGCAGGAGAAGAGAGGATGGGGAAGCAAAGGATGCCAGATTATAGTGGAAGAGACAAGGGAGATGCTCAGCAAATACTTGGAACCAGGAGTCTGGGACACAGACAGCAGAGGAAATCGAAAATGGAAGATCAGCAAGTTCTTATAGTGTATATATAGTTTACAAGTGAGAAGAGGATATCAGAATAAGATAACATGTACTGTCCAAAACTGAGTAAAGGTCTGTTGGCCCACAAATCAGAAAGAGGTGTCCAAAATCAGCACGAGAAAAGTAAAGGCATTTCTCACATAGGAGAGGACTACTAGAAATAGTGGAGAGGGTGCCTGAACAGGCTTACCCAGGGATCAGACCGGTGAATACCCTAACTGTCATCACAGAGCTTCTCTCCAATGACTGATGGAAGCAGATGCAGAGATCCACAGACAGAACAAGTACCTGAGCATGCTTTCCTTTGGAAGACACATCCCTGACATCAAGCTCTACTATAGAGCTATAGTAATAAAAACAGCTTGGTACTGGAATAAAAACCAACATGTGGGCAAA